GCGAGCACAAGGCTCGAGAGTGAAAGACAACAACATAATAACAAATTTAATAATAATTGAAGCTAATCCTTATTCTATAATTTTTTTCTCAAGATGAAAAATTAATAACATCTTAGATTACCTCGGCTGAAAAAACATCTTAGATCACCTCCCATGATCATTCCAATGCACTCAATTTGATATTAAATACTAGTTGTCGTTACTAAGATTTACGGCTAAATTAATAATGTGTTGCCTTCATTCAGCATTAGTTAAACATGTATTGGTTTTACGGTCGATTGAAGCATTTACTATCCGATATATCACATTTATATTTTATTTTTGTAAATCAAAATAGATACATTTCGACATATCCTTTTGAAAAAGAATGATGATTTGTGTTGTGTTTTTAGAAAGAATGAAGAATGTTAGTTGATATTGTTAATCATTTGGACATGTTGTATAACCTCATTGCCTACGCATGACTACATATAGCATCTTTTTGGTTGTTGTTGGTGGGTTTATTTTAAATAATCTAAAGAGAGAGTATTTTGAAAACATCTATACCAAACGTGAATGAGTTATCAGCTGATATACATATATTTTTATTAGCATTAACAGTCGACGGCATCAATCATTTATTATGTTTTATATGGACATTAAGTATTTAACATTCTAGCGACAGCGTTCAATCTCTGTTTTGTGACAAAAAAAAAGTATTTAACATTCTAGCTATATACAAAATATATTTCCATCTCTTAAGAGAAATATCATCCGCCATAAAACAAACCAATGCTAGCTCAGCTACTAACACCGTCAAATTATCAAAGATGATTCTTTTTTTTTATAATGTTAAACAAATGAAAAAAAGGAAAAAAAAAGTAAAGAAAAAGACAAAAGGGACATTAGGCAACTAGTTTAATCATGAAGATCCCGAGTCATCAAAGTTAGGACTCGTTAGTTTTCTATTCAATTAAAAAAAGCACGAAGTAATTACATTTACAAATAAAGACAAAAATAGTGATTTAGTCAACAAGAAATTCTAAAATACAAAAGATTCATGCCTCGGGCCCCTAAATACTTTCAATTTCATTTTTCTAAAGCTAATACGTACGATCAACCAATCCTTCTAGATCTAATATTAGGGCTCAATATGTTTTGGTTACTCATTTAGTATTTTTAAAAAATCCCACTTTTTCTAGACACAATTCATCTTCGGGATGGGCCTTACTCTTGTTTGATATTCTACTTATTGTCTTTGAATATGCTTTTTTTTTTGTTAACCCAAAAAGTATGGAGCAGAAATCAAATTAATGGTACGCAAAATATTTACAATTTTCTGAAATTGTTTTTAGATACGCATGCTCAATTTCCTAAAATAAAATGTTCACAGTTCTTCTAACCTTTAAGGTAATTGGTTAGCAAAAAAAAAACTTTAAGGTAATTGCTCGGTAAATTATAAATGAAATAAGCATTTGCTCACAAAAACATATGGACATGATAAGACTTTATCTTGTGAAATTGGTTGTGTATTAATTGTCCCGTTGATGCCGAAGATTTGATCAAATCTAGCTACAAGAATTGAGAAGTCAAATCTCACTCGTGGCCTGATATTATGTATATATGGATAGTTTTATATGCATGAGAATTCGTCAACAGTTCACAAGACAAGGTGACAATATTGATTTCGCTCGGAGCTTCCAAATCCATCTTTTATTCACCAAGCATCTCCAAATATTTGAAGCATGTTTACAGTATTTTCAAACAATCAAACTTTGAATAAGGATAGATAGACCAGATACTGATCTGATATGAGGATCTGATATACGGGATATAACTAATTTATACATAAATATATGAACCAGCAAAGATGTGAACTTTCAAAGCAATTAATTAAAACCAAATGCGCTTCATTATCATATTATCAAATGCAAATTGCGCCGCTAATTGACGCGGTTCCACGTGATCAAAGAGACTAGAGTGGGTCTGCTTGCTTTGGTTCTCATGTTGATAGTAGGCATTATACAAAATAAGTAAATCTATAGTCATTTTTATATTTAATTTATCGAATAAGTATGACCAATTGTTACGTAGACTAGTATAAGACATTTAAGAGGTAATAATCAATAGTAGCTTTGTGACCTCAAAAAAAAAAATCAATAGTAGCTAGTTTAAGATGACACCAGTAATGGTTTTACTCAATCAAGTAATACAGTATATTTTTTTTTTGCTAAAAAATCAAAGTAATACATATCGTCATGTTTTCATTATTAGCGTTATTTTGGTGAGTACATTGTTTTTATATATGTTCGTGTTTTTTTAAAAATATTTTCTTATATATGTACATTGTTTTTATATATGTACATTATTTTCTTATTTTAAATGTTAAAAATACAGACGTAATAGCTAAGTTTTCTACTTGGGAAAGAACGAGCTAGAAAATCTAAATAGAGAAAAAAATACATAATATTCATGTTATAGTTTGGGTAGAGATACAAGACGATCACATCTATTCATCGGCTAATAATAATGACACTCGTGACCTAAACCTTAGACTAGGGATTGCTATCCATCAAAAATCTTTAAAACACAGCACCTATATTTTTCTTATAGTTCAGTTTCTCAAAACCACTTATCTATTGCTTCCGGTTAGAGGCTTAATTATGGAAATACATCTAGTTTTCTTAAGAGAATAAGAATCATTGCATTAAACAATCTACACTTTAGTTTGTTAATTTTAGCCTCTCTTTTTTTTCTTTTTTTTGCTAACTTCATCTTAGTCTCTTAATTAGGAACCGCGCTTATTAGATTAAACTTAACAAAGTTTTGTTTTACATATTGGCTAACTGATTTACTTTCTTTTTTTGAGAAATTTAAACTGATCCACATACTTTTTTGTCTTAAAATTCTCTAATATTACTTAAATATATGTTCGGAGAAATATTACTAAAATATATGTCGGGCGAAATTC